AAAGAAAAGAATAATTATTATACATTGTAATAAAAAAAACTATAAATAATGATTGAACACGTGATAATAATGGTAATTACAAATCACACGCGCCTGGTATAACTTAGTAATTTCATATAAAAAATTATTAAAACCATTATTATATTAGGAATAAAAACTTAAAATTTATATTTATTTATTTTATAAAAAAAAAATTTAAGAAGTGAAAAGTATAAAATATAAATTATCATCATTTCTTACATAAAAAGAAAATAAATTAAATTACGATTATCATCATCATTTTTCAGTTGATGATTATTTTAATTTATTTTTTTTTACTCCTACATTATTAAAATATTTCATAGAGTTAGTGAAAGAGCCCAGTGTTGTTCGCGGAAAGTTCCTTAACGGGGTTGCGAAAGCTAAATAAGCGAGGTATCTATGTACAGCAGACGCAATCTCTGGAATCATACCTCTAAACCTATATTGGTACTTACCGTCATTAATTCTTTTTTTTCTTAAATACAATTTTTTTCTCAAATAATCTTTGCATCTTTTTGAAAAAGCTCGTCGACGGTTAACCATTTTTCGAATGAAATGTTATATTTGCGAAAAAAATTATATCGAATGAAATGTATTTTTTGCGAAAAAATGCTTTTATAACAAAAATGACTTCGATAAGCGGTATTATCTGTCTGGAATAATAATATAAATAACTATTTTAAAGTAAATCAGCTACAAAAATGTATTTTCAATGCGTCGTGGGAATAATCGTAGCATAATCGGTTTTTTTTAGAAAACGGGAGTTAATTGTACCGATTACATATACATATATATATATATATCATATGTATATTATAAAATAAATAGAAATCATTGAATTTATTTTCTGATTGATTTCAAAAATGTCCGATGTAGTATATTGATTTTCAAATGTAATACAATCTCCAAACTCACTAAAATAATCTACTAAATAATATGGCTTTCCGATGTCATCCGATGTGGTACAATATTGGTAATTTTGTATTGATAAAGCTACATTAACACACATATATATATTTATATTTTCTCGAGACTATCATTTTTATGACATAAGTCCTAATTTAAATAAAGTCAACCCGAGTTGACCTGGATGATTAAACGATCTTATAAATTGACGCGCTAGACTTTTTTTACGTTACGCAACTTTAATTTGTAACAAATAAATAATAAGTAAACCAGTCGTCTAGAAAACGAAAAGCATTCCGGAGTGAATAATTACAGTAAAAAAAAAATTATTAAACATTAACATACATTTTTTTATATAAAGCAACAAGTGTTCCAGTAGGACGAGTTTTTTCTGGTGGAATCGATCTGATATCAACCAAAAGATGTGGTCTTAAAGCTAATACAATTTGCCTTTATGTGCTTGAAATTCTGGTGGAAAAAGATGTAAAAATAAGAATTAGGATTGCTCACAAAAAAAAAATAATAAATTTTATATGACACTTTTTTTATTTTCGGCATTAATATTACCCTTGAGAACTCGAGTCGAATCTGGGCTAAAAAATAATCGTGTCGAGTCGAATTCGGGTTCTGTAATTATTAACGGATTCGAGTTCGAGTATGCCTTAAAACCAAACCTGACCTTACGGAGTACTAATATTTTGGTCTATAATTTAAAACTTATTCTTAGCCATTTAATACATAATTAAATTGATTTGATGTTGCAATCACATTAACATGATGTTCTGAACCCTGAACAACAAAACCAAATAGACCTCGGTGCGATGCACCGGGCAACTGCTAGTATATGTATAAAAAAAAAAAATATTAATCAATCTATTTTGGTATGTCAATTGTTGATTGAATATCGTTTGACGTAAAGTTTTATATTGTAATTTTTTTTATTTCTTTCGGCATTACATAATTGAGATAAAGTTTTGTGATAAAATGTTTTCTTTACTAAAAGTAACATTTTTATTATAAAAAAAAAAATAAGCATACTGTATGTATGTATGTAAAGAACTATTAAACAATATATTTTTAATTTTGGGTGATAGGTAGTTTTTGTTCAGTGAAACAATACACGTGATGCTAAATTCAAGGAAACATATCAGATATTAAAACCCGAGTCTGAGCTACGTCATGAACCAGTACCTGAGTCATAACCCCGAATATACTATTTACACAGATGATATGATTGCGCAAAGAATCTTGTATTTATTTTTATAATTTATCTAATCCAAGTTGACTAGAAATGGAAACCATTGTTAAGTCCGAAGTGTTGTTTTTGATGCACCTATTAGTAAAATATAATATGCTGATCCGATGTTCGTCCACGTCTTGATATTTTACTTAAAACATGCATCAGAGAACGTAACTTGCATAGATAATATCGTTACACTTCGGAATAATTAAATTGATTAACTGGTTAAAAAATTAACCGGTTGAAATTAAAATATAAGCTCGGTTAGAATATAATCCGAGTCAGTCAGCTCAGCAAAATCCGCAAATCCGCAGAGAAGATACTTTTCTTTTTCTTACCATTTTAGAAATACAATCCTTGATCGGGATTGTTATCACTTTTTGATTTTTTTTTAAAATAAAAAGTTTTAAAAAATTTATTACAAACACTTAACATTATGAATTCTTTACTGACCGTTAAAAGCAACGTTGAAGAACCTGTTACTTCTGATGGAAAAGTCAACTCACCTGATGCAACTAACGGGTCCGTCAATAAACCTGACACCTTTAACGGAAACTCCACAGTGCCCGATTCTTTTAAAGTAGTACGTGATAATGAAAATGTAATTGTTCATTTATTTGACAAAGATCTTGTAAAATTCTTGCGAAATTTATTGTCTGGAGAAAGTTTGTAGAAGTCAATCCCAAGGTTGCATTATATAATATGATCATCTTGCTTTTGGTGCTAAAAGTAAAGTAACTTCATTCTGAAATTTACAATTTTTCTATTCGAATAAAGTAGATTTCATCACATAAGTTGTTACTTGCTTTGCCCGATCTTAAAAAGGCTGTTAGAAATAAATCAGAAGCCATGATTTTTGATGAAGATGAAGACAAAGATGAAGGTGAAGATATTGGTGGTTATGTTCAACCCAATATAAATAATTAATTGAAGTTGGTTGATTGGATTGTAAAGGAGTATCAATCTAAAGTTTCTCAAATAAAACAAATGACTGATAAAGTAAGTTCAAATAAGATTCTATTTATTATTATTATTTTTTATTTTTTGGAGGAATATATTTGTGTTTGTAACATTGGTGATTTAATCTAAATTATTTCTTTCAGAATGTTATCACATATAAAAGTCTATTCTATCTATTTCCAAAAGGTATATTATGTAAGTCTTATACAGTGTATTAATTTTAATTTCATCATAAGCAGCTTTGCATTTTAATGATGCATCATTCTATGCTCAAGGTCAACATGTACGCGCGCAGTATGGAACGAACGTACAGTATAGTAGGTGCGAAAGTAATCAAAGCATCGTATCGTAGTAATTATCATCATGAATATATGATTGTTAAATGCGAAGTAATCAATTCAGGTATGCATATTGATATTTTATATTACGATTTTAATTTAAAAAACATTACGTTTTAATTTGATATCTTTTAGATGGTGTCTCTTTTATTCGTGGAAAATAAATCATTCTTTGTTGATTCTTGGGAATTTGTATGTAAAATCGAAGAACTTTCCGTTGTTCCATTGCCAAAAGAGAATCCAATTCGCGACGAGCTAGTAACGCGGGGAAGAAAATTCGCGAAATACGCAATCGGTTCGCATTATCTTCATTACAACAGCAATTTATTTCGCGTTACCTTCTGGGGTTACGTCCTTTTTAAAGCCGAGGGCCGCGTTATGATTGATACCGTCTCATTCACCAAAACCAAACCAAGTTACAATAAGGATACCGTAAAGAGTGTTGTTAATAATGCACATAATAATCAAAATAATGTAATGTAAAAACAGTCTGTGAGGAAGATCTTTTCATGTGTGCACCTTCATGTTATGGATTTAGCTTTGTGGCGAAAAAATGGAGTCAAATATACGCAGAACATTTAGAAGGTATATGATATATATTAAATATCAGCTATTTCATTTGTCATATTGGATTTATATTCTTAAATTCTTATGATTTTAGATGTAAAATTGATGACGATGTATTCAATCAACTTGTCATGGATCCAATCAAAAAAGAACTGATTGTCAGTCTTGTTACGTCAAAATATAAAGGAGTGGATCTTATCAGCGGTAAAGGTGGTTGATGCACCTTTTTATTACATGGACCTCCTGGAGGTAACTTTAACTAAGCTGAAATTTTCCTGCCGATAATTCCATAAAACTAATTAATAATCTTTAATAGTTGGGAAAACGTTAACCGCAGAAGCAATTTCCGAGTTTCTTCAACGACCATTATATGCTGTTAGTGTTGGAGAATTAGGGACAAATATTGTTTATTTAGAAGCTAAATTGAGCGAAATTCTTGAGATGGCGAGTGTTTGGAATGCCGTCATTTTAATCGATGAAGGTAAGGAACTTTGTTTGATGTTGGTCAAGAATGATACTTTGCCAATTACTCTATTTATCTTCTGTAGCCGATATATTCCTTGAACGTCGAAGTGAAGATGACATCAAGCGCAATGCTCTAGTTAGAATATTCTTAAGGTTACTCGAATACCATCAAGGAATTTTGTACTTGACAACAAGTCGAGGTAAGATTCTTTGAATATTTTGAAAACTTTACCTCAACGATATTTTATCACATATTTGATTTTCTGTAGTAAATTGCTTTGATACCGCTTTCATATCTCGTATTTCGGTTGCCTTGAAATATAATGAACTGGATGCTGATGGTAGGCTAGCATTTTTTTTAATGTTGAAAAGGATGTTCCTTTCGACTGATAAATCATATTCATAATTACAAATAAGCACGCGAACAATTATGTAGTACATTTTGGGATCGCATTGAAGGAAAAGGCAAAACACAGGTGAATATTGATTATTTGAAAGGAAGGCCTCTAAATGGAAGAGAAATTAAGACGGCTGTAAGATTAGCAAAGGTAAATGTATTTATAGGGAGGGAATGATGTCCTAGATCACTAGGTATTAATTATTTCATTTAATCAGGCATTAAGTACGAAAGATAATCCTGATGCATTAATCACTACACAACATTGGAAGCAATTATCGATATTTCAAAATCTTTTACTGAGGAGATCTTTATTTAGTAAACTTATAAAGAAGAAATATTTAATGAGTTTATTCATACTTTGAGAAGAAATAATTATTAAAATAATTCATATTTTAGTGAATTTGCGAGATATATTATAATAAAGTTTAAATTGCAACAAATATTAAATCTATCACGTATTTCCTATTCGAGTATTTACATGTCTAGCATACCTTAGCTTTGCCACTAATCACAAAAATTATGGTATTTATTAGTAGAACGTGGAATATATTGATTCTGCAAACTACCAACACAACACTTTACTACCAAAACATAAAAATTAAAGCCGAAATTCTCGTCAATCAATATTCATACCGTCGTTCCATTATACCCAATTATTAAGATATTAATTAACTCCAATCCTTCACTTATTTTCTAATCAGAAATTATTTTTTTGTCACATATAGGATATAGGATTTGTTAGTTGCAATAATAATTGATTTATCTTTTGCTGCATTCCATTCGTTTTTATAAACTCTAGTTTAAAATCCAAACATTATATAACGATATCTTCTTGCCTATGCATTTATTCACTAGGACAAATTCCCGACAAAACATTTGTCGACAGCTTTGACTGAATTATGCACATGCATTCAATAAATTGACCAGCGTTAGGCTGCTGGATTTTCCCTGACTGAATTAAATTTTTGTGGTTTTACCATAAATAATGATGTTTTCTTTGGTGAAATTCGTGAATATGAAACTACTAGTTATTCTACCCAAGCGTCGTTATCGCGACGGAAAAAACGTAAGTTTTAACATATATTTAATAAATTAATATTTTTATATATAACTAACTCTAACGCGAACGTGTAATTGGTTATTTAATAAATCACCTAATCCTAATCTTAATCCTAATTCAACCCTAACTCATAATAGGTATTTTTAATAAATCATCTAACCTTAACCCTAATTCTAATGCTAACACATAGCTTTAACTCTAGCTCTAACTCTAACATTAAATTCAAATTCTAACGCTTATTTCATTTTAATAAATCTCTAATACTAAACTTTATACAGTCAGACCTCTCTAAATGCATCCCTTTGGGACTGAGAATAAGAGTACATTTGAAGAGGGTATGCATTAATGAAAATTATATATTTTAACAAATGTACAAATGTTTAATATCTGCAAGTATCAAGTGTCGTAAGTTTCGTGTGCTGCAAGTTCGTTTGTAGTAAATTCCATATCTCGCAAGTTTGTGATGCTATATTTAATACTAATATCAAAGAAGACTTATTATAATAAGCCTTCTAGTATTGTAATTTAATTCAATATACATTACAATATTTATATTATTTTATTATTTAAGATTGTTGTGCATATAGTTCTATAACATTAATGAAACATTAATATTTTTTAATTTTTAAATTTATTTTTATTATACAAAAAAAAATCTAATTATTCTATATCTTTGATGATTATAATAGTGCCATAACTATATCTTCCTAATTTTTCAATTTTTCAGTAACTACATAAAGATAAATAATAGTAATTAGTTAATTGATTTCCTTTTAAAAAAAACATTTAACATTGAAATTTTTTTTCATAAAATTCATCTTAAATGATCTAATGCTAAAAAATCGGGTAATTACAAAATAGTAAGTAAATTAATTAGTTAGTATAATTGATTAAAAAAAAATAAAAATAAAAATTTATTTTTTTTTTATTGTATTCACCTTTGAATGATTTAATGCTTGAAATTCAATAATTATAAAAAAGTAATTATATTTTATTTCAATAAACTTCTGAATAATTCAACATTACTAAATCCTATTATTTTATAGAAATAGTCATATAATATGTATTTAGAGAATAGGATTGTTATATAAAAGAACTTAAAACCTTTTTGCACATGTAAAACTTAGAGGATGCATTTAGCATTTAAGTTTTAAGCTTAAGACTATAACATTATGTATATTTAAAAAGAGTATACATTTATAGAAAATGCATTTAGAAAGGTTAGACTGTAGATTATTTTACAGTATTAATAAGCAATATATGATTAATTAGGATTTTATTATTTTGTAGCAAAATCCTATCCAATTAATTTAATCATTACATTACTTATTGTAAACTATAAAATAATCTATAAAACTGTTTATAATAATAAATAATTAGCAATTTTTTGATTTTATAATAGTTAATTAATTTTTTTAATTAATTTGTTTTAATTTTTAATTTAATTTATTAAATTAAATTTATAATATTAAAGTTTAAGATTAGATTTGAGTTATAATTAAGTTAGTTTTATTTTAAAGTTAGGTTAAGTTATTGAATTTAAGATATAGTTATAATTATTTAAATAAAGTTTAAGTTATATTCAGGTTAAATTCAGGTGATAGTTAAAAGATTTCTATTAAATTATGTTATAAATTATATAATTTATTATATTTATAATTCAATTTAATAATAAACATATAATAAAATTAGGTTAATATAAATAAAAATTAGGTTAAGTATATTTAAAATATAATTGGATTAATTTAGATTAAATTTAGATTAAATTAGATTAATTTAGATTAAGTTAGATTAAATCAAGTTATAATTGAATAAATTAAGTTGAATTTAGATTATTTTTAGATAATATTTAAAATAGATTCAGATTATATTTAATTTGAATTCAACTTATGGTTAAATTTAATTATTATAATTTTAAATTTAAATATTTTTTTTAGTTTATATTAACTAATTATTTTTTCAGTCTTTTGAATTATTTATTTTTTTTTAAATTATTTAAATTGTATTATTTATTTTTTTAATTGATTTTTTATTTTAATTTTTAATTAACATTTTCTAATTTAAATAATTTTACTTTTTTAATTAATTTTTTTATTATTACTTTTTATTTTTTTTTATAATTACAATAGTATTCAAAAATATATATATATAAAAGTAAGATTAAATGATATTTAACAATTATAAAGACATTAAATAGGATAAGATTTTGATTTACATATTTTTTAAAATTTGTTTAGTTATAGTCAGATTATCAATTTGTTATGTAAGTAGTTAAATTTGTATATTTTAATTTAAATTTGATAATCTTATATATATATTAAATAATTACAAAGTAGTAATTAATTATAGGATAATAAATAATTACAGGATAATAATTAATTAGCAAATTTTAGATTAAATAATATGAAATTTTTAATTTGATTAATTACAATTACAAAATTAATTATTATTACACAAATAATGTTATTGAAAATTAATTTTCTAATCTTTTTTTTTTTTAACAAAAAAAATACTTTTATTTTATTTAACATAATCTTTAAAAAAAAATAACCTTATTTTTTAAATTTGAATACTTAAACTTGTAAAAACTCTTATTAAATGTATATTTTTTTTTATTCTTATAGATTTTAATTTTATATATATATTTAATATCTATTTTTATAAATATTATTAACCTTACGTTTAGTTCATCAAGCTTAAAGTAATGATGATCTAATAATAGGAAGTAATTTATGAGAAACTACTAAGTTACTATATAATAAGTCCTATCACAATCAACCTTAGATTTATAATTCAGATAAGTAAATAACTTTTAATAATTTTATAATAATAATAAACACAATTGATATATTGAAGAATTTTAATATGTATAGTTTAGAAAGAGATTCCTTTATTATAAAAATGTATTTTTAGCAATCCTTAACCATGGATTCTAAGTCTTAAACTTGAACTATTTAGTTACCACTATTATCTCTACCCTTTTGCAAGGACAAATATCTATCCTATTTATATAAAATACAATTATAAGAAACTACTATCTAACACTAAACTATTTTATAATATTAAAATAAATATAAAAGATAAATTATAATTTAATTATAATAATAATATAATAAGTAATAATAATAAAATATAAGAATAAAATAATTTAAATAAAAATGTTAACTAAATTAAAAATGCTAATGATGTTAATAATGTTGATCATTCATCAATCTTTGTGATGTAATAAAATTAACTTCATATAGTATCAATTTTTTTCTCTAAATTTACAGCTTCTGCAAAAATTTTATAAGCTTCGTCAACCAAGTCCTTAAACTCTTAAGATTTGAAATTATTAATCATTCTAAGAATTCTCTTTCTAATACGTTCAATTTGTGCAATTCTTAGAGATTTAAAAAGATAATAAGTCCATTAAAAGTCTACTGATAATACAAGATTATTAGATTCTTATATTGAGTTTATTTAACTGGACTTGAGGTTTCTGACTCCATTACTTATCTAAAATAAAATGCATTAGCTAAGGCTAATACTCTATTCTTTAAACTGAAAGCTTATAATAAAGCTCTATAAGTTTCTATATAAGGTGAAGAGATATTGTTATCTGTTAAAATATTAACAGCTATTAGATTATTCTTAATTTCTTAAAATAAAGTCTTCATGAAAAATTTTGGAAAATTTTCAAAGGAAATCAATCCTTTATATAATAATCTAAAGTTTCCAATTTTGGTGATCATGATAAGGTTTTAATAGATTTTCATTTGCAGGTATATGTAACACTCTTTTATTTATTTTTCTTATTTTATAAGATCTATTCATTAAAACTTAATAGATATAGTATGGTCCTTTCTATTTTGAATTTAGTTTACCAGACTATTATTTTCTTTAATTGCATTATAATAAAGAACTTTATCTCTAATTTTCTTTACTGCTATAATGATAAGAGAAGTCCAGTGGCTTAGTAATTTTCTGATAATTCCATTTTTTTCATATGTTTGATTTTTTCCTTAAGAAAATTAAGTTTTACTGGATCTTTATACTTATAAGTTCTAGTTGTGACTGAATCATGATTATTAGTCAAAATATTATGTTTAATCAAACTAGTTCATTTAATTTTTATTTGGCTTAGAGCACTATATCTTTATAATTATCAATTAAATTTTGAAAAGATATTTATTATTCATCATCAAAGGGTCTAACTTAAAGGTCATTTTTAATTTTTCAAATATTTCCTTTAGAAGTTTTAGCAAAAAATATGGCTGAGTTAGATTCAAATTCTTCTTTAAATGCAAGAGTTAAATAGATAGTTTTCTTCATTTAGGTAAAAGATCATTTTAATCCTCATATTCTTCTTGACTATATATCATATAAGCTTCAATTTCATTAAGTTCTTCTTCCTTATAATCATTCTAATTGATTTAAAAGTTGTAGATATAGGAATAAGAAATGAGATAGAAGTATTAAAAATCTTTTCAAAACACTCAGTAGTATGGGTAACTAATAATAAATATTATAAAACAGAAAGTAAATTAGCAGGATATAAAAAATAATTTAAATAATATAATAATACAACTGCTATTTTTATTATTTTATTACTATTATGAGTAATTTTACGATAGTAATCTAAATAAAGTTTAAATACTATTAAAGAACAATCACTGAATATAGTAGTATTATATTCACTAGAGATCTAATTTCAAAAGTTTTTAAATTTCTTTATTACTGTTTGATTAATAGGATTGCACTACACACAAGATACATCTTTTTCTAAAAATAAATTATATTTACACTACCTGGAAATAAGTTTACGCAGTTTTGAAAAATAGTAAATAAATTTGTGCAGTTTTGAAAAAATAGTTTATTATCATTTTTTTTTAACAAAATATTAATATCTAGTTGGCTAACCATTATTGGCAATATATATTTCTATTCTTTGAGGCATACTATCAATTAATTTTAGGTAAGTTTCTTGCGGAATTTTTTTTCATTTTTCTTTTAGTTACACTTCTAAATCTACAAGTTTTTTAGGCAGATCCAAATGGTTACGCAATAAACGTTCAAGATGATCCCAAAGATGCTCAATGGGATTCAAATCCGGAGATTGAGCAGGCCAGTTAATTAACATTTTAATTTTTTTTTTAGCAACCCATGCTTTAACATCATTAGCTGTGTGAATGGTGCATTATCGTGCTGAAATTTGTAAAATCAGTTACGAAACTTTAAATCAATAAATGGTAACAGGTTATCATCTAAGATTTTTATATAATTATGCCGATTGATTATTCCTTCTATTTTCATTAAAGGACCCAATCCTTTGCCTAAAAAAATATTCTCAAACTATGACTCCACCACCATCATGTTTAATGGATGGATTCAGGTTTTCAATATTAAAATGAGTGCCTGGTTCACGTCAAACTCGAGAAGGACCATCATTACGAAAAAGAGTAAACTTTGATTCATCGCTCCATATGACATTTCTCCATTATTGTACTGTCCAATTTTGTCTTTCTAAACATCATTCTAGTCGTTTTTAGCATTGATTTTTATTTAAAAATGGTTTTTTTGCAGCTTGATAAGAATTGTATTCAATTTGATGCAAATTCTTCCGAATTGTTTTGGTACAAATATCTTGATCAGTTGTTGCTGAAAATTTCTTTTATATTATATTAGCTGAAGCTTTATTATTTTTTTTAACAATTTTTTTTAAAATTTTGCGATCTTTATCATCAAATAACGGAGGCTGACTACTTCTTTTTTTGCTTAACATATCATCTGAATCTCCATATAATTGAATTATTATTCTAACTGTGGACTCTGATTGATTCATAATTCTAACAATATCAGACTTTCTGTAGCCACTTTTATATAGTCTGATTATTTGTGCTCGTTCAATAACGGTAAGTTCAGGATTTTTACCCATTTTGTTAGAAATAAGTTGTTAGATTGATTATCATTACGTTATATTTATTTATGTTTATAATTATTTTTATTTTGTATGTGTTACAATAACAAACAGTTATATAAACAAGAATCAGGACTTTCAATTGGTACCAAAATCAATTGATTTTATTATATATAATTTCGAATAAAATTCAAAAAACTAACTGCGCAAACTTATTTCCAGGTATTAGAATCTATGTAAATATATTTGAGCTAATGCTTACATCAAAAAATAAATTAGAGGCGTGATCATTTTTTAGAATCTATATATATGTAAATATGTATAGCGTCGGCCAATAATGTTATTTAATCAGTCTGCTTTGGTATTCCCTCCTCATTTAGATCTAAATCATCAAATTGATCTTTAAGCCAATTTGGTCGAGAAGAATTCATTCTAACCCTTTCTTGAATTATCTTTATTTCTTTATCAGTAAATTTTCTAAAAGACGATGGTGAAATTCTTCTAATTCGCTTGATCTCAACTCTTCTTAAACTCTCCATTTTGAATATGTTGTAAATATTTTTAGCTGAGCATTTTTTCTTGTTAAAGATATTATGAGATATATCAGAGGAAAATTGTCGCTTAATTTCTGCATTAAGCAAGATTCGTGTAGTTTGAAGAGGGTGAATAGATGTAAATTCAGTCAATTTCTTCTTTAATGCTTCTCTGAGAGGATAATATGAGTCAAGGATTTCATATTCTATGTAGGATACTTCAAGTGTTTTTTCTTTAAGAATCTTTTCAGCATTAAGTATTTTATTGTGTAATTCAACGAACGTTATATTTGAAGTTGTGGAGTTCTCTGTTTTCACATTTATCACTGGCAATGGATTAAAGTCTTGTGGTCTGTTAGATAACTCTTTAAAAAATTTTTAACCTTATCTTCTTCTTCTTGAGGATTTAACCTTGCATCATCATCCTCACCAAGATAAATAGGTCGTTGACAATGAGGACATGTCATATATTTTTTTAAGAAAATAATAATACATCTAAGATAGAAGCTATAAAGACAAGACAATCTTATAACTGGTTCCAGGTTAGCTCTATCAAGTTCAGGTTCATTACAGAAAGAACATATTTCAGATCCTCCTTGAGCGGATTCCCTTTAAGAATTGATAGATACGGTGAGTTGAATAGTGTGATAAGGGATACTTCTGTCAGATATATCCTCATCAAATATTTCTTCTTTAATGACTAATAGAATATGTGAAGAGATGTTATTAGATCTTTTTGATTCCATTAGTATTTTTTGAGAAGTGATTTACGGGAAAAATGTTATTATGAGTGAAAGGAGAAATTTTTATACTTTCTGAATATTCCACTCGTGATTGCAAAATTGTAACAACTGGAACTTGCTAGAAGAAATACTCTTATTAGTCTTTTTGGATGACAAAGGTCTTTATTATTAACTGAAAATACGTAATGAGGTATTTTTGCCTAGATTCGAGCGGAAACTTTTGCATCAGACCTAAGATCTAAATTCATGTGATCATAGATATATAGTTTACTCCTATTACATATAGTTTACTTTATCAAAATATAATAAAGAATTTTATTGATTATTCAAAACATATGTGTATCAAAGGTATCTAATATTATATATGTGCCTTTATATTCTACTGCCAGTTATGAAAAAAAATAGCTAGATTTATTAGCAAATAACGTTATTGATATATTGTTTATTATTAAAAACTAATCCTTTCGCTTGAAATCAATATCAGCGTAATTAATAATTACATTGATGACATTGGCGCTTTGGAAAAAAGAAGAGAGGGTAGGTGTAATTGACCTAAAAATTGCATATGTTTCGAGAGATGATGTTATTGATCTTAAGGTAATAAGGGAATTTTCGACAGTTTTAGACACTCTCTTAGATGATGATGTGACTTCATTCCTGTTGCTCATCTGACCTTCCACCATAATTGATGGTAGGTCTTTCAACGGTTGGTATTATCAGTTTTAACGTTGTGAATGATAATGTCTCAGGAGAACTTATATTACTTGACCTAATATTTTCATTATGTACCTGCTCGAATAGAAGTTCTAGTGAATGGTGATGAATAGAATCGTGTTAATTTAGAAATAATCACCAGCTTATTTTCTACAGAAACATACTTGATTTTAACCAGAATATCGTTGAGAACTTTTTGTAAATTTCTTCGCCAACTAGACTCCTTTTAGTTCTAGTACCTTTTTTATACTTTTCTGCCATCTAATAAATTAATAATAAGCATATTTTACTATCAAGATGCTTCATAGAACTGAAGAAATCGCTACTTACGTAAAAAGCTTTTATAAGATTTAAGAATTTTTTATAGCAGGCTTCACTAGTGAAGTAATTAGTATTTTCTTGATCGTTTATTTTTTTTGCAATCTTGCTCCAAAAGAGATACTTCTTTTTATTTGTAATAGCATGATACTCCGCATTTCTATTTTTCATTCATCAATGAGAATGCAAAGTTAGACTTCAGAGAACTCCATAGTTGATTTCTTTTTACATGGTGAAAAGATTCTCTAAGGGTCTGTTTTATAAAAACAATATTGAGTAATGTGTTAGATCTATAGATGCCTATCGAAATCTTCTCAAAATAATTTCGTCATATCCTTTTCATGTTTTTAATATAGTTTTGACAGTTTCAGCTTTCATCGTATTGAATGGGTTTCGTCATATTCCTTATTATGATTTTAATATAATTTCATCTAAGTTTTGACTGTTGTTAAGGGGTTTCGTCTTTCATCTATAGTTAGATCATTGCGAGGCAAATTAATTAATCAATGATTAATCAAATAATAATCGTGGCTTAGCTATTATGTCAATAAGATCAAGAGAGGTGAAATCTGATTGGTTAATTATCTCATAATTTATAGAAACTCACCAGCGTCTGGAACATTCCTAGAATTGTTAAAGAACTAGCAGGGAACTAAGGAGATCATATGTAATATAAATTTTAGCTGAAGATAATTTAGCCATCTATGGTAATCAGATCCAATTTAGCTGAATTATACCAATATTTTATCCTGAACAAGGGCATAATCAAATAAAGGATTTACTAGCATGTAGTTTTACAAATTAGTTACAAATCATCTAATTGCTAATCAGTTATAAAATTCATATAAATTTGAATGATAATATTCTATAGTATATGTTATTCAAGAATAGCTAGAAATTGCTAAAAATACTATAAATCAGTATATTTGCTAAATATGAAAGTTGTTACTTTGGCAAACGCTACTAACATTAATATGATTATTGATAAAAAAGAATGGAGGCTTCCTAAGCTTATCAGTAACCGTCCTGAATATGATATGGAATATTATAGAACATATCTTAAAAATTACTATGGTAGCATAAATTTCAAAAAATTTCTTGCTAATGAAAAAATCTATGACAGATTATTGATAATGAGAAAGGAAGAGTCTCCAGTGCAGTAGGGATTATGAGTTAAAAACACTCTCCAATATTTATTATCATGAAATAAAAATAGCATATACCATAGTTTCTGCTTATTTGCAGGAGTTAGTGAAGGCAAATTTAACAAATTATATCATTCTTATTATTGTCTTAAAATCCATAAAAACAATATAGCAATCTGCTTTCGTTGCTGAAAACCATTTCAAGTTAATGAAATAAAACCAACCAAATCATATCACCATGGATGATATAGATTTATTGAATTGATTAAAACTAAAGACATAATGCAGAAACATTAGGACCAAGAATGTTCTGATCCTTTAAGTGATCTTGAATATGCAAGAGTTAAGCAACAAGCTTTTGAGTCACACTCGTCGACTCCAAATATACTATTTATCTCATCTCTGTATGTGAAATAAAATAACTTATTAACATCCACAAATATCTTAATCAGCCAAAAGGTATCACAATAAGATTAAGAGATAGAATAGAAATCATTGTTTAACTGTTTTAATTGACCGATTCTGAGCAATGTAGATTATTATTTTTGACTAAATAATATCTCAACTATATTCTGTTTTTTTATGCTATATAATTTGCATGCATGATCGCCTAGTATAATTATGAAATGTATCACCTGCGAAATAAAAAACCTGATTTGCCTATTTTGGGTTAGATCTTTTAATTTATAACGAAGTATTATTCAGGAAGATCAATGAAGTGATCTTGGGGATTCTTGATTTCTAAATACTACTATAATTATGGCTTTGAAAATTTCTATGTGACAGTTATCCAGCAAGTTTATAGGAATTACAAGAAAAGATCTGAATCTTTAGTAAAACGAGTTTGAAAGATGATGAGAAATGATGATACTTCTGATGATATGAAGTTTTTAGGTGTAAAAAATGAATCAGGACAATCAAGATATATTTGTTATAAGGATGAGAAGCATTGTTATCCAGTAAGAAATGATTGGATGTATGAGAAGATAGCCTAATTATAGATATGATTAGATATAGTATTACACATACTTATTGGAAAATTATTATATCAGCAAGGCTATACACTTGTTAGAGATACATATTAGATTGACATGTTAAAATAGCCATGAAATCCTGAATATTATCATATTAATAAAAAATATGACTTTGAATACTTCATCAAAATTTTGAATTGTAAGAAATATAGTGATAAATTGACAGAAATACAATATACTGTATATGTGATTCACTGTCGTTAAAAAAATATGACATTTTAGGAAAGAATCTAATCATAAATTTCTCAGATTTGGATGATAATAGTGAGTTCGTACGCTGAATTTTTCAGATCAAACCTTGACTAAGATCCTGAATATTATATTATTCAGCCATGCGAAGTGCCTCAAGGCTAATACATGTAAGCGTGTATGACATAAATTAATATATTTTTGATTCTCATTAAAGTATATATTATGTAATGTTGAGATCTTTAATGCACATTTCACATACCCTACACTTAAATATAAAATTTTGGTATAAAGTACCTCGCATAATTTTCCTATCTCTTTTCCTAATATAAATGTGAGATTAGAGAGAACATAATTGGGAAATGCAAGACATTTAAAAAGGCAGTATAGTGAAAAGGTATTGGAATTTACCATACATTTTTTTTATTTCGTCTAGCAAGCTTTACACTAATATTAACTTTTTTATTCTATCAAAATATGGAAGAGTTTCTTTAACAAGAGAGCCTCTCGATATTGTCAGAATTTCCACAGCATTATTTGTACAAGTAGAATAAGGTGAATAGACAGGCATTCTCAAAAAGGAGGTGGAGAATTTTGAGAATGTTTTGAAAAGAGTCTTAGAACGAGTTCCCTCAGAAGATGTTGAACGAAAAAAAAAACTTCAAACATTTAGTACTGAGAAAAAATTAGCTAAACAGGTAAGGTGATAACTATTTTTATGATGAATATATGGATATGATGACATGCTTTTTTTTAAGTTTTCTAAAGACATAGTAGGATCTCATTGCATATATATTAGTGAATGCACTAATGTCTATTGTGATATCATTACTTTCTGTATGGCAGTAGCTAGTTATATATGCTCACAGAATATTGAGCTCATTGCTGGCATTTTTGATAGTTTATGAAAATAGAAACCTAATCTGATCCTGTGATTTGTTATTCACTTAAATTAATAAAATATGTTAAGTTTAAACTAAGCTAATTATATTTAGATTGCAAGTGCCTTTGAAGATTTATATTCTCTAACAAAAATGAAAGCTCTGGTAATTGATGCTGAGACGTAATCTGAAACGTGATGTTAGACAACTTATGAATGAAAGCACCAGTTATGAGAAAATTATGTGGGAGAGGATAGAAATGGAACTTAATAATATAAATGTAGAAAATCTTAGATTTGATCATCCAATATGTTCAGGAGTCCTCAATATCAAATCAGAACCTTTCATAAACATTTCTAAGTCATTTTGCGATATTTTTAAGGAACCATTTCAAAAATATAAGTTAGAACAGAATCAAAATATATTAGACACTTGTAAAGAAT